CAAGACGTCTCATGAATAATTCCTTGCTCCTGGAAATATTCATTTAGACATTCAAATTCTGTGCCATTATCACTGCGAACACACTTTATTTTCTTCCCGAATTGTCGTTCTACCATAGCACAGAATTGTTTAAAAACAGTGCCAACCTTGCGTTTGGAATCAAGCAAATGTACCCAAACACCTCTTGAAAAATCATCCACAATAGTCAAGAACATTGTAGAACCATCAAGACTTGGAGTCCTATATGGTCCCCATAAATCACAGTGTATCATATCAAATTTATCAACAGATTGATAAAAACTTATAGGAAAACTCCCACGAGTCTGTTTAGCACGTAAACAAATGTCACAACAACTGTGACTTCTCTTACTTGTTCCAACTTCAGGAACAAGTGACAAAACATGAGAGGAAGGATGTCCAAGTCGTTTGTGCCAAAGATCAAACTTACTCTCCTTTTTCGCACTGCACACCATCTTCTTTTCAGGCTCCTTAAAGTAATAAAGTCCTTCCTGCTCACCCATACCAATTTCTGTCTTCAAATTCAGATCCTGTAGTATACACTTATTGTTGGCAAAACGTGCCTCACAATTCGAATCCCTTGTCAATTGTGACACAGAGATTAAATGGCAACTCAAAGTGGGGACATATAAAACATCATGTAGAATTAATGTTTCTGTCAATTTAATCTTCCCCGATTGGACAGAAACAATTCTTTTCCTGTTGGGCAAACCAATCTCACATGGTGATATTCCCACAACATCATACAATAACGAAGTATCACCAGTCATATGATTTGATGCCCCGGTATCTATAATCCACCGCGGTGACACAGGAATACCTGAAAGCTTCAAGCTAGAAACACACGATGATAGCGAGAAAAACATCTTCCTTGGTTCTTCATCGGCCATGGCGGTAGCAGAGTGGCGTACGGCGTTGGCGGACGAAGCAACAACAGCATCAATCAAACAATCTGCCGACGGGACGGTCTACGTGCTCGACCGTTCTAGAGCAACGGTCGACCGTTCCGTTATCCGGCAACAACAACAACCGACTAAAACTGAGCAACGATCGATGGACGCCATGCCGGGCGATCGTGAACAGTAGTCGTAGAAAATTTCTAGGGTTTTGGCTCTGATACCATGAAAGAATTATGAAAGAATAATTGGGAGGAAATTCTCTCTGGATTTCTTGTGTTCAATTTACAAAGTAGACATGTATATATAGGCTCTCACAGATTGAGAAGCCTAATCACAAAAGGAAACGAAATCAACCCTATACAAGGAAGCTACCAAAAATAATATATACACAAATATCTCCAAATATTCTACCAAATATTTTCTTTCCTTTAACACTCCCTATTAGTGTTACTTCCATTATTATTATTATTATTATTATTATTATTATTATTATTATTATTATTGTTAGTACTCTTATTATTATTATTATTATTATTATTATTATTATTATTACTACTACTACTTCTATTATTATTATTATGATGCTTAAAAAATTAGGTGATGCTTATGGGCTGTTTGGTAACTTCTGAATGGGTAAGTGTTGAACTAGTAAGAGGTCTGAATCATTAAGTGCTGAACCAGTAAGAGGTCTGAACCATTAAGAGCTAGTATATTGTTTAACTATTCAGAGGCAAATGTCTGATCAATTCAGATAAGAGCTCTTAACCATTCAGACTCTGTATAATACTTAACCATTCAGAGGCAAATCTCTTAACCATTCAGACATCTGAACCATTAAGAGGCTGAAACAAACAGTCTGAACCATTAAGTGCTGAATNTACAAAGACTTCTTGAGTTTGCACACCACATTAGACGAATTTGAGAAACCAGGTGGCAATCTCATATACACCTCATCCTGAAGATCTCCGTGTAGAAATGCATTGTGAACATCCATCTGATGCAATTCCCACCCCTTAACTGCTGCAATTGCTAAAAGCGTTCTCACAGTGGTCAACTTGACTACAGGAGCAAATGTTTCTTTGTAGTCAAGTCCTTCAACCTGATGATTTCCAAGTATAACAAGTCTAGCCTTATATCTCTCCACACTTCCATCGGACTTGCGCTTGATCTTATATACCCATTTGCAACCAAGGGGCTTTTTGTGGCGTGGAGGAGAGACAAGAGACCACGTTCCATTAGCCTCCAGTGCATCAATCTCCTCTCTCATAGCCTTCCTCCATCGTTCATCCTGGAATGCCTTCTTGAAACTCGTGGGCTCCACTTCAGCATCAAGTGCACTGAGAAAACACTTATGTTTCTGAGAAAACTTCTCATATGTGAGATACGACGAGAGATGATATTTGCATTTCTCCCCGACATATGGTCCAACCACATGGGTAACATAATCAGCAAGGCGTACATTTGGACGTTTCTCACGCTGACCACGTCCCAAGTTCTCCACCGCTGGCTGGGAAGGGGACGGTCGACTGCCGTCCGTGGAACGGTCCACGGGGTCGACCGTTTGGAGCTGTTCTGGATCGCTAACTTTCTGCCTCGGACGCGGTCGACCGTCTTCCTCATCACGGTCGACCGTTTGATCATCTCCCAAAGAACCGTCATTCTGCCTCTCGAACGGTCGACCGTGGATATCAGGACGGTCCACCAGATCGTCCGTTCGGTCATCTCCTAGGGATCCATCATTCTGCCTCTCTGACAGTTGACCGTGGGCATCGGAACGGTCCATCAGGTCGACCGTCTGTAGCCGGTCAGCTCTGCTGCTTTCCTCCGGTCGACTGTCCCTCCTGGAATGGTCCATTTGTTCTTCCGTCCGCAGTTCTTCATCTTCATCATAAGAGCTAACCTCATTTGTGGTTCCTGTATCAAGAGAAGCACCTGTAGGAGTCAAGAAAGGGAAAATATCTTCACAAAATACAACATCCCGGGACACCTTGATTTCCTCAGTGTCCGGGTAGTAAATACGCCATCCCTTCTTCCCTTGTGGATATCCAACAAATATTCCAGGATTGCTTCTTGGTGCAAATTTATCACCATTCCTTTTCAAGTTATGAGCATAGCATCTGCATCCAAAAACACGAATATGAGCCAAAGAGGGGGGCTTTTCATAAATCTTCTCGTATGGTGTGACCCCCCCTAGCAAAGACGACGGTGTGCGATTGATCAGATGTGCGGCGGTCTGTATACACTCTCCCCAGAACTCAATCGGAAGACCAGCCTGAAACCTCAAAGCCCGACCCACATTCAAAATATGTCGGTGCTTGCGTTCTACTCTCCCATTCTATTGTGGAGTAGATACACAAGACGTCTCATGAATAATTCCTTGCTCCTGGAAATATTCATTTAGACATTCAAATTCTGTGCCATTATCACTGCGAACACACTTTATTTTCTTCCCGAATTGTCGTTCTACCATAGCACAGAATTGTTTAAAAACAGTGCCAACCTTGCGTTTGGAATCAAGCAAATGTACCCAAACACCTCTTGAAAAATCATCCACAATAGTCAAGAACATTGTAGAACCATCAAGACTTGGAGTCCTATATGGTCCCCATAAATCACAGTGTATCATATCAAATTTATCAACAGATTGATAAAAACTTATAGGAAAACTCCCACGAGTCTGTTTAGCACGTAAACAAATGTCACAACAACTGTGACTTCTCTTACTTGTTCCAACTTCAGGAACAAGTGACAAAACATGAGAGGAAGGATGTCCAAGTCGTTTGTGCCAAAGATCAAACTTACTCTCCTTTTTCGCACTGCACACCATCTTCTTTTCAGGCTCCTTAAAGTAATAAAGTCCT